TGTAGATGATGTTCCAGTTATTAATATAACATAGAACTCGTTAGAATACGTAATAAATTCTAGAGAAAATGTACGGATAAACCGAAGCGAAGATGGAAGTATTGTGCTAGGATCTCGATTATTATTGTTGCTGACTTAAGTTTTGACTTCATTGAAGAAGGGTGATCAAAACATTCGTGTCCCTAACCATTTATATATTAATCATTTGTTTGTTTTACTTATAACTGTATTAAAAAATAATACAGGTAAATGTGATATATGGGGAGCAGGATGACCGAGTGGGCTAACGCGTTCTCGGTACTCTGATAAACTGAAAATTACGAGTTCGAATCCCGGTGACGAGGCATTTAAACACTGGCATTAATCCCCCGTTCTCTTATTTAAATATTATTAATTTTTTTCTGAAAGGAAGCAGGCGCAAAGGTAAAGGACTTGAACTGGGAGCAGTCATTCTTAGCTGAAAAGAAATTTTATTATCTTTAAAAATAACATATAAATAATACACAAACAAATGCGAAATTTTTGAGTCATACGCAAAAAAAATTTTGCATAACTTTATAAAGGCCTTCAAAGAAAAATTCCATCAAACTCATTACAGTCATTTTGGTACTAAAATCTTTATAAATACGTTTTTCGGTCTCCATTTTGAAACAAAATGGCGAATGGTGATGAGATCGACCATCAACGGCTATTCTCCAATACCAAAATTACACAGAAAATTTCAACCTTCTGACATTATTTGTAGGGGAGATTGTTGAGGAGCGAGTGAACACTTTTGAAAAAGGGGAGAAAAATGCGAAAAACTGTTCGAAACTTATTTCACAATACAGAATGTTAAATTTAATAGGATTCATCGGCGTAGTAATAATGTCAGCCTACCAGATAATTTAGTTTGATCTTAGTAACAATTTTTTTTTTCAATAGATAATTAAAGAGATGCATTTCTCATGTTAGTTAATAATTTAAATAAATATTAAACTGCCTCTGTCTAAAATACGAAGTGACAAATATTTTAATTTGAATATGTGTATCTATAATATGTATTCCTTTAATATAGTCGATATATGTATATATATTTTAAGCCCAAACACGTTGTGAACGATAACCATGTTGAACAAAATTCACACATTTTTTTATTAATCTGAACCAAAAAAAAATTTCACTCATTAATAATAATTTTAATACTTGGTATAAAAAATTAATTTTTCTATAAACATTTTCTTATTTGATAAATCTTTTTTATTAAATAATACCAACCGAATTTTAAAAAAAAGTTCATTTCATTATTTTATATGATATATGTAATAGATAAAGGATTTTTTCGGAGTACTGTCTTTGCGATGCTGGCATATAATTGGCTAGTTCTCCATCGAAATGAAACTAAATTCTTGTAAATTTAAGTTTCAATAGAAACTTTTCAGAGCATCATATTAAAGTAACGAACATTCGCCGGCACCATGTTAAAGTAACGAACATGTAACAGGCTCACATTCTTTACTTTAATGGTGTTGGCGATATTATGAAACAGAGGTTTTAAAAAATGTTAACTCTCTTTTTATTTATTCATTTATAGCTGGCTTTTTTTTTCGTCTCTAAAACCACTTCAGAATTTTCCAACAAAAATAACTATTGATAAATATTTTTTTCTAAACATAAGAAAGTAGTAGCTATTTCATCCAGTATAGTTATTTCCTTTTTAGTAGTTTTATTTGGTCATAAGAAGGCCAATGATGGCACTACAGAAAAAGAATAAATGTGGAAACGGAATATCATTACGACGTAAAAAAAGAAATCTTTATCAAGATATGCAACACGCCACGGTACCATCAAATATTCCGATTCACTAGGTCCATTTGCCTGTCACAATATCCTAGAAAAAAGTAAATCTGTTGGATAAGGAAAAATTCATGTCCCATTTATTATGAATTGAGGGTATCTGAAATCAGAAATAAAAAAGACGCCTAGAAACATTTGGTTTGTAAATTTATTATCGGGCTCTTCGGAATTGAGCAAAAGCCTTAAATCGATTTAATAAAAGGTATTTTTAACTTTAATTTGAAAAAACTCTCCCATTTTCTATATGATAGTTTTAATAGTTTTTGAAAATACTTCCTTATTATAAGTTGTACATTCTTGATAGAAAAATTCTCTCAATTTTTTGTTCTACTTATTTTAATTTCCTTTTTAAGATTTTTTTTTTATTCTAACGTTATATCTGTACCCCGGAGATAAAAATCGTTAGGCCACATATTTGTATTTGTTCAGGGGAGGCAATTTTCCTTAACTTTGAGCTATTAAAATTTACTTCAAGTTACTAAATTATTTTATAAAAATGGAGTGGTGTCCTTTACCCCGGGGTACAGATATATTTGCTACTTTTAAATATTACATGAACCTAAAAAAAATCCCAATTCAAACATTAATACAAAAAAAAATTTAAAAAACATTTCAGAACGTTAGGCCTTTTACAGATGCATGGTTAAAAAGCCGATTTCCTTTATAAAGAACTTATAATTAATTGAAAGGTAGATTAGAAAATCTAGGTGTCAAATATTCTTATTTCGAGCAAGAGCTGCCATCTGTTGGGCAACGGTTGAAGCTCATTGCTCAATTTGAGATATACCCGGTTCAATTTGCCGCTAAATATTGAGAATAATTATATTACTTTTACAAATTATACATTTTATATATATATATTAATGAACTTGTAAATTAATTATTTAAAAAAAACAATAAAAAGATTTATAATTGATCTGAGATACATGCATGAACAATACAAGTATAAATGCTATAGCTTACATTGTTTAAAAGGGATTATGCCATTTTAATGCACTTACTGTGTATTTTATCGAACTTATTTAAATATCGTAGATAAATATATAAGTTCGAATTTACATAAACATACTTATAAGTTTAGTTCCATCAAAAATATATTTGGTGACTTTTTGAAATATACTTAGGACATTTCATTGTTTTAAGAATATGTTTCATTCTATTTTTGTTTGAATTCGCGAGCAATCGTTTTCTAGGAAAAATATTTGCTTCAGCGTAAGAAAAAAAATCTTTATTCTCTGGCACACATAGTAACCAAAGAATAATAAAAATTTAATAATCGAGTAACACTTGTCAAGCTGCTCAATAGATATTTCATTAAATTTAAAATTAGGACTACTAACCGTTGGTTTAAATTAAAAAGTTTTTATTAAACTTTTGATGTACAGGATTTGTGACTTTAGATAATTTTTTTTTTTAGTCAAGAGCTCATCAATTCCGTCAACATAAAGCAAACCCAGTAACATTGATCGTAATACTGCCTTAATAGTAAGGTGTATATATATTTAATATTTCATATTTGAGTAACTTCAAATAAAAAATTGAGTGAATTTAAGCAGCAATAGAATTCAAGTAACAAAGAACTTTGTTAAGATTGAGATTGTACCTTTTAGATAAAAACTAAAAGGTTTATATTCAACAAACTTAAGATAACATTTAAATTCAAATTTATTACGTATCTCTATTCTCTTGAAGTCCCTGCCACTTTTCTTTAGTGCTAATTATCTTTGCAAATATCCATCAGAAAAAAATTAGGACTTTTTGTGGAAATTATACTTTTGAGGGCTGTATTTCATTATATTGAGAAGTCTCACAAGTTCACTATTTCTGATGATGGTGTGAAGATTAAGGCAATTTGTACTAAGCATGGTAGGCCGAAAGCCCTCTCACACTATTATTCATCCGTGATCACTCATCATCAGTCGCTCTTATCTTACCTGAAACCTAATTTCTTTGTCAGACATCAAAATTTATTTTAATTAAAATACGAATGGGTTTTGTGCTAGGTAAGTAACATTTATTTCTGTGAAACTACATTGACATCGCTCCATTTGGACTTTTACTATATTTCTGCCTATTAGAACTAGCAAAGCTTAATAAAAACACTCAGTAGCATTTAAGCATTTTTTTTTTTTCTGTAGACATCTTTTTCCGCCTTAACAAATTCATCCATCTCTGCCTATAATAGGCTATTTCTTTCCAGTTATCTGCAGGTAGCTCTGTTCCATCTTAGTTGATTCGATCTATTAATCTGCCTTTTGGTCTTCTACGTGGTCTTTTGCCTACTATTGCGGCATTCATTGGCGTGTAGAGACTTACAGGTGGACTGCTCTGAGCTCCAGGCCTACATATCATGAGATACCGATTGGTCTCTTTATTTATGGGCTCGAAAGGTGCCTGAAGCGGCCCTTGGCCCTCTCAACTGCCCTGTCCTAATCATTTCTTACTACTTACTATCATATATTTTGTTTTATCTTCATTTACTTCTAGGTCAATTCGCTCTGCTTTTCTTATCAGCCTTATTCAGTTTCTCACAATGTCTTTCTGATTACTTCCAAGGATAGCTCTATCATCATCTATCTACATATTCAAGGAGCTAAATCAGACAATCATAGAATATTATTTGAAACCACATCTATTTCTATGATAAGCTAACATTGATGGTTTAATATTTTTTTTTATAATGATCACTTCATAAATAACAAGTATGGTGAGTGAATTTCACTCCTAACCAATCCATCCATTTGATTTATAAGTTCATAAATCTATAGAAGATAGATCTAGAATTACTATTTAGATAATTCTATCTCAAACAAATATTGCCTATTCTGGTGAGTATTCAGTTTTTAGAAGTAATGAGTAGAACATGAAAACCTGAAGGAAGAAATGGGGAAAATGGCCACACACTACTTGAGCTACTAAGCTAATTTTAAAACTCAATTTTTCAAAATTCATTTTGGATGAACCTCCCTCTTACTTTTGCAAACCCTTCAAAATGCATAATCAAGAATTTTGTTTTGCTTTTTAACTTAACATAAATGTTAGTTCATGTGATCAATGAAATAAGTAAGACAATAATGGATTAAATATTGACAAACATAACAATTTTTATTTTCCAATAAATAACAATTAACTTATATTTTACATTTTAAAATTATATAAATGTACACAAACAATATCAACATAATAAAGTGAGTCAATTATGAAGTTTAGATAAACCTCTATCACATAAAGTAGTTCTAATTTACAGAGAATTAAAGATATGACCGTATAGCAATAGATTTATTATCTGGCCATGAGATCCAAAGTGAATCAGAAATAAAATTAACAAATCCAGAAGGTCTTGAATTTTCATATATACATTTACCAGTTTCAAAATCAAATAAATAAAATTTTTTATCACCTGATGCCGTAGGCCACACTACTAAATATTTTTCACAAACAACATGTAATTCCCAAAAGGAAATGAAATTATTATTATTACACTCGAACATCCACTTACGAAAACCAGTTCTAACGAACCAAGACGTGATTCTAAATACATTTTCATCACGGGACGCTTCCAAAGTAAATAAAACTTCTTCTTTCGGGTGCATTTTTATCCAAGTATATGTCGGCATTTCCTTTCTCAGCACTTCTTCGCCTGATTCCAGATCATAAACTTCAATGAGACAAGTATCAGGCACAAAACCTCTGATCAAAGAAAGTAATGTCATATTAGCACTTACGTCCTCTAAACCATCTATATTTTCAAGACGAGTTTCATTTGTACCTTCTATATTGTAAATAATTACAGAATCGTCAGACCAGGTAACATAAATCTCACCCTGAAGACGTGAACATTCGTAGGTAAACACATTTGTCATGTGGTCTGTTTGTAAGTTAATAACGAAAGATCCTTCTAAATCAGACAACCATAGAATATTATTTGAAACCACATCTATTTCAACTGCTGCTCCATAAGTGATATGACTATTAACAAAATCTGTGAAATCCCTGTTGGTTTGTATAACAGTACCGAGAATAACAGCATATGCTGTTGTTAGTTCATAGTTGTCTCCATTTTTTTTAAAAAGTAGAATAACATTGTACTTTGCAACAGCTATATAATTTGAATCCATAGCAAGTAGGGCAGGTCCTTCTTTTGGAAAACAGAGAGCAATAGACATGACAAGTCTAGCTCGATTAGTATTCTTCTTAATGGTATAAATATCAAGATTATTGAAGGTCTTTGAGAAGGCAACAATCTGTTGACCGTGCGAAGCGAAACCCTCATAGTCATTTTTACAGAGTTCAATTGATCGGTAATTATTGGAGAGCCATTTATAAGCAAGGGAAATGGCGAAAGATCTCCAAATCAGAGCCCAATGACATAGATCAGATGAATTATCTAAAAACAATAATTAAATAATTACTGATAATAGCTGAAATAAATAATTAGATTGGGAGGCAATAACATAAAAATCAAATTTGTTCTTAAGAAGTTTAGCAAAAGTGGAAGTTACTTATTGATTCTCTAACTCCATTATTGAATTCAAAATCTGTAATTAGAAATAACTTAGTACTACAATTATACATATGTAAAAACCATTCATAATTGTAAATAATATAAAGCAGTATCAATGATAAAGTGTCAAAATGTTCTAAAAAACTATTTCACACTTTTTCAAAGAAAAAATTGGTTACTAAATTTTATCAACAATATTATAGTGAGTAATTAGTTCCCCAATATTAATTTTGTATAACTAGTTTCACATAATGTATTTTATGAATGAATTTTTGTTGACGGTTTTTTAAAAAATATCAAGGAAGATGTTTAGTCAGAATTTTCAGTTAAAATTTATTTATTTTTGTTGCAGAAGTTGTGACCCATACATGTGAGTCATCATCAGAGCAAAGTTTTCTATTTAGTGTAGCATTTAGAATTCCTTTGATGTCAAGAAACTTTACCATAATGAAGAGCTCATGCTTGGATGGAAACGTTGCCACCAAAATGTCAATGTTAAAAGTTCGGAACCACTTTTAATAGTGTTTTTACTATTACTTCTTTTAAGATTTTATTGCTAACATTTGCCATACATGGAAACTATTTCATTTATTTACGAAATGTTCTCTTTTGATGTCATCAGTACACTATCTTTTCCTTCTCCTCACTTCATAGCATCCCCTTTCTTTGTGTACATTGGTATATATATCCAGTCTGTCAGTTGTTTTCAATGCAGTTTTTCTTTAAACAAAATCTTTTTGCCATTTTTATCAGTTGTCTTTTTCCTGTAGATTGTATATTTGACAAGAGTAGCTTGATCAGTTTTGGTTAGGCAGGCTTTCATTTTTTTTTCTATCCTCTGTAACCTTTTCTGAGAACCAGTTCTAGGCTTTTAGTTTCTCCATGATACCTATTACCTCCTTATCTGATTATTTTGATCCTGTCTCAAACCCCAACCAATGTTGGTCAATACTGAGTCAATCTGAAACCATGGGTTCGAATTTATTCTGCAGGTCAATTTCTGATTATGCTTCATACCTCCTTCAACTTGATACACTTTTTGGCTGATTTGTTAGCCTCTGATAAAATTTTATACTAATTGGAGTGTGGTCCAAATCACAGTCGGCTTCATGCTAGCTTCTGAAGTCTTGGATGGAGCTCTGAGGTTTATGGTATTGAAGCAATATAATTTAAGGAGTCCCACAAATGTGATGGTAAAATTAATTCAGGATTATTTCAGTTACCATCTTGCATTCTCCAAAGAAATTATCTTATTTCATTTCCATGACTTATAATAATAATCAATTTAATTTTTCTCTAACTTCCTTTCCTATCTCAAAAAATAAGATTATATAATAAAAATATCTTCCTATTTTATTGTTATAATTAACAGCATTTTATTATAAGTCAATCCATGTGTAATAATTTAAAGTACCAAATAACTATTTATCCATTGTTCTTCTCCCCCCAACCAATCAAAATGGAAAGTCTGAGCCTATATAAAAAGAAAATGAGGAAAACAGAATTATGTTTCACTTTATAGGTTTATGGAAGTACTTAAGATAAAGAAATAATTGGGCAGTAAATTTTATCTGTAAAACATTGGAAAGTTTGATAGTTGTGAACTATCATCTGATAGTGGTTTAAAGCTTAGTCACCTATTAAGAAAAAAGATGATGCATAACAATATTAATAAAACTGATTGACATAATAAAGTAAAGTAAAATTGATACAAAGAAAAAACAATTTTCAACAATGCATACCTGAAAAAGAGGATTCTTCCTTATCTCTGATGTCGTACTTTGAACAATGATATTTCCAAAAAATATTATCATTAGCTATTCTTCTCCATTGTTTTGATACCCGGAGACACCTACCCAAATCGTCAGCATGGAAGTGGCTAAATATATGTTGGCCAATTTCAAGAGGAAGCTTACCTACAATATCCATCACTATAAAAAAAAAAAGTATATATAAATTTTAAAAATCGACACGTTTACAATTTCAACCATAGTTAATAATATAAGTATCTTCAACCACTAATAGATTACTAATCATTTATACACTGAGCTATCAAGAAGCTGAAGGTCGGAAAATATAAATCAAATAGAATCTATACTTGGTTTAGTTCAGTATCCATTTCTGTGATAAAAGCATCTTTCTTACAAGTGTAAAACAATATCCGCTCTCTAGCTTTAAAATGGGTGCTGGTTGTTTAGTATTGAACCGAGGACCAATCATATTTAGAAAACCGTTGACAAAATGGGTAACTCTATATTACCCAGAAACTATTATAGATTATTAATTGCTGCTAATTTCATTCTGAAGATCAGTGCTCCAAAAACAATTAAATAAAATTTAATAAATAAGCAACTTGAATAATTTTAACTGATGTATACAAGTTTCAATTTCTAAACCTACAATTCCTTCATATAAACTTAATTCATTTGATAAATTATTACTTAGGGTTTATCAAACTCATCGATTTTACCACAAAGAATTTTAAAAGAAAAAAAAGATTTTGAAGATAGTGAATGATTTACCCATCAACAACTATTGACTCCTTCTCTAGTTTTATCGACTGTTTTCAATGTTTTGGGCATAGAAAAACCATTTTGTATATACCTGTTGATGGACCCAATCCTTTTTGAATTTCTACGTGGGTTCATTAATAAAAGAGAGAAAATGACAAACCTTCAAATAATATCACAGGCATTCTTAAGGCTTCTCATTGCGATCTACAACATTATTATCCCCACCTCAAACAGGCACCCACTTACATTGGCAATATGTATCTTTTTACCCTAAAGTAAAGACAATTTTTTTAAACAGTTAAAGCCAAAGCTGATAATTTATAACTTATTTCATATACTTGAGACGACTATACCAGATAACTGTAACAGAGATGTAAACTCATCAAATAACATTTTGAACCTTAAATCAACTTTGGACTGATCAGTAAAGAGACTTACCTTCAACAATCGACTCTTTATTCCAAATTTAGCTTAATGGACAAAAATCAGATAATGCACATTGTTTACAAATAAAGGGTCATTTGCAAACTTGTCACCTTCGATAATCATCTAAAGTGATAAGTTTAATTGGCTTTCATTTTTGTTTCATTCAAACTGTACATACATGTGGTTTCGCCCACCAAATTCTTTGAGCATGATCAGTTGTCAATGTGCTTGTGTTCATTGTATGAATCCATTAAATAAATGTTCGCTTGGCCTATAATACTCCTACTTCGTCATATAGAAGGCATTTTTAACAACACATTTAACACATGTTTGAGACTTCAAGAACAGTTTAGGGAAACCACAGTAGATAAAAATATGCCCAACAGGATGATTCACTTTGCATGTACCCTAAAAGTGATACATATTTAAGTGAATTTCAGGTTACGTAAATGAAGTAAGTCTTCTTATAGTCTAAATTGAAAATTTATCAATCAGATCTTTAAGTTGATTTACAGAGATACGGTAAATACTCTTTTTTAAGCAAAAAACTTTTATTTTCCAATAGTTTTGATGATTCGTATTTAAAGATTTTTAGATATCCAAAATCTAAATATCAATTTTTTCCCTTTAAAAAATATTAATTTGCTCATTCTATCGGTATAAATTGTTTCAATATTTTACTCATTCTATAGGTATATGCCAAATAAATTGTTTATTTTCTAAACCAGATGAGTATAGTGTAAGATGAGATGCACAAAGTGGTATGTTGTCCTGCCTCAGTCAAAACAAGAATGTCAAGGAAGCCTACTTCTGTTTCTGAAATGATACAATTCTGGCACAATCACATTCTCATATTCATAAGTAATCTTGAAATTTTATACTCATAGCACTTTCCTATAAGATACAGGCTTACTCCTGTTTCTGAAATGTTGATTCTAGCACAATGAAATTCTCATGCTCATCAAAAATCTTGAAGGTTTATATTGATGAAAAATAATTTAATTTTTCTAAAATAAAAATTAAATAGAATATATAGAAAGTTTAATTGGAGATAAATTCATCTTTTATTAAAATGTTATCTGTAGTAGTTCACAACTATCAAGTCTGGTTGACAGGTGGGTCAAGATCACCACACTCACACTATAGATAGAATTCTAAAAATAATCATTTCTGTATTAAAGTATGTACAGGTGATAGATCTCTCTACTAATTTGGGCAAAAATTTTGGGTAGTAATTTGTGATGCGTTGAAAATTATATGCCTCCATTGACAAGGAACTTTGTTTGCTAACGCCCCAACCTTAACTGTTTGTTTATCCTTTGGGTTAGCATAGTAAGCCAACCCCTGAACACAGTTGTCAACACTCGGCTGCTTCCAGAATTATACCTACAGTGTAATCAATGTGATCTTGACCCAAATGTCAGCAAGACTTGACAATTAAGAACTAGTACTAATCAACCTATACGAACAAATATAAAAAAAAAAATGTGGTAAATCATGAATCCCAATAATTATATTTTTAATTTTTGAAGTTATACCATAGAAATTTAACTTCAAAACTTAAAAGTATGTAAGTGCTAAATATAGTTTAAATACACAATTTAACTACTCAACACAATAATAAAAATAAATAACTAGCATATTATCATGAATAGGAATCATTTTTAAAAATATATACAATCAATAAAAGAACAAATTTTGTTTTTACTTCCATATCCATTACCAGCTGAACATGTATTTTTTTTATTGATCTTTCAATATAAGTAATGAAAACCATTTTGAACCAAATCAAAATCCATTATTGCTATTGAATAAATAATTTGCTATTGAAATAAAATAAAAAAGTTACAAGGAAAAATTTCAAAACATGAAAGATAAATAAATAAAAAAATAATTATTTTTATATTTTAAAAATGAGAGAACATTATTAAAAACTATTACCTTTTTAAAAGTAATTGGATAAAATGTGTATAACTATTTAATTTAAATGATGAGGAAATGGTCAAAATATATTCCCAAAAAAAATATCAATAATTATTGTACTCGATAATAATCAATATGTCTACCCAAAATTAGTGCTTAATAGAGTTACGTTTTCTCCATTTATTCTTGAAATATCTTCATTCATAGATGATAAGATTTTAAATTATAAAAGTATAACATGACCTTGCTTAGAAATTGTCTATTGAAAATGTTAGTACATAAATTTTTATTTCCAATTAGTTATTGTGAATAATTGCTTTGAAGTGTTTTTAAAATATGTAAAAAATTGTTTAAAGAAACTTTGTATCTCAAATAGTTATTACTTAGCTGCAATTATAAGAAACATGATCCAAAGTCTGAGTTAAAAAGTTTGAATTGTTTATGAACAATAAAAGTGACAAGTTTGACAGTACAAAGTTTAACAGGGCCCAGTAGAGTCCTACCATGAAACGATCTTATAAAATCTTCACTCAAAGTTTTTGGACACAAGAACAATAATTTGGGTAAATATATTTCTTATGAACGCAAAGACTATAATCTAGTGGATCGTTGGGAAATAATACATCTTTCTATTTATTACGCTAGGAAACTATGACTTTTAAGTCTTATTAATATTTTTACCTAACTCTGTATTACTGAAGATTTTTGGTAATACTATGTACAAAATTTTAATGAACTTCCACTTATATCCTCAAAACTTTGAGTGCTGGAACTTCTTTCAAACCCTCGTCATCACATCATTATTAAGACATGTTCCTAATTCAAGAAATATTCGATAAACCATAGATCTATGATCTATTGCAACACATCCTTTAGGCAACTCAATATTAATTCATATTTTAAAAGGGGACCTATGACTACTGTTTTCCTTCAACAGTATATGTAGATCATTGCTCTAACCTAAATTTTATTCAAATCTAATTACACATTCTACACCACACAAGGTTGTTTACCTTTCATAAACTGTAGATATTTATATTTACACAACTTTTTTACATAAACTTTAGAATAAAACTTTCCAACATTAATTTCACTGAATGATTAAATTGTATTGTACAATTCACAAGAGCATTGTACAGTTCATATCAATTATCTCTCTTGGGGTTTACAATTCAATCCTTCATCTTAAAATAAATAAGACTACGACAATCTTGTCATTCTTTCCTTGTTACTTTTGTTTAATTTGGTAAACAAACTTGGAGTAAAATCCATAGAGAAAGAAACTTCCATTTTATAACTCCATAAGATATAGATTTTTCAGTAAAAAGATTCGCCACCGAACTGTTTCAAAAATAATATTAAGATAACTTACTTTATTAGAACGAACAGGGATAACAAGTTTAATATTCAAAGAACTTCAAGAAATACATTTATTTATTAATATATAAATAAAAGAGTAAGACCTGTAATATTATATGGTATGGAAACAGTCAGCCTTCCGAGCCTAGAGAAAATCCTGAAGATTGAGAGGAAGATTCTGAAGAGGATTCACGGACCCAAGGTAACGCAAGAGGGATACAGGCTAAAATCCAATAAAGAAATATACAAAAATTTGGAAGATTTGGAAACAGTCGTCAGGACCAGAAGACTGAGATTCAGGATGAATAGTGAAAGACTGAACAAGAACATTTTTGACAAAGTTTGCAGCTATAAAAGTATGGGGAAATATGTAAAACAAATAAAAGAGGAACTAGACAGGCTAAAAATCACGGATAAAGATTGCTTAGATAGAGAGCTTTTTAGGGAAAAATTGAAAGGGGTTGTGGTACTTGTAGATGGGAGGGAGAGACGAGAAAGAAAATGGACTAAGAGAGAGCGAGAGGAACAGTCCAGGAGGATGAGAGAGTATTGGAGTAAGAGGAAGGCTGAGGGAGTGAAGCGGAAACGGATTTGATATTCAAGTGGTCCTTGCTGGCCGGTTCGTTGAAAAAAAGAGTAAATAAACAATAATGACGAATTTAGTTGTGACGAAATTTTAAGATTATTATAAAATGAGAGATATTCCAAGACGTCAACATTTTACCCATAATCAGTTATTACAGTATTTGAGGGAGTATCTGTCATGTGGCAAGCAGAAAAGACCCCTCTGGTTTAAAGCCATCCACTTAAAAAAAATTAGATTCCGAAAAATGGATTAAATTTCGGAACTTCAACAAGAAAAAACAGGGCTGTTTTAGACCACTAAGTCACTTAATATAGACAGCCCTGTTTTAGTTTTTGTTACTTAATTTAAGTGACATAGGAACCTGATCATGGTAACGTAAATTATATTTTTACAATAAAATGATCATTGGATCTTATTTTATTCTTCCTTGTATTACTTCAGAAATACCATGTCAATATCGCAGATATTGGCAAATTTCTCTATTTTGAAATCAAAACTACAGAGACATTATCGGAAATACTTTTCTACCAAACAGCAGTGATGTATTGTAAAAATAGTTTAAACTGACCTTTGAATCGACTATCCCGACTATTTGATGTAGATAAGTATATTTCAGTATGAACCAACAGTTAATTTGAGAGAATTTTTAAACCAGGGGAACAAGAAAAATGCGTGGGACATTCTCTGCATAATCTAACAACAATTTTACTTTCACTAGCGTCCTTTTTAAGAAAAGAATAGGTATAAAATTCCACGGGAGAAAGGACTATCGCTCTTGGGGAGATGAATACCTATGGTTTAAAGGCTGCTTAGCCGCAAATTTTACATTTACCATTATTATAATCTCGTTAAAATGCAGTTTAACATTTCTTTCATCATATGTGAGAGGCTCATGGAGTAATGTCGAATTTATTGATTGAGTATCTGTATGAATCCGACTAGGTTACTAATTTAGGGAAGCTGTTTAAAGTTTTTAACTACCAGAGGTATTCCTTTGTAGACGCTTTCTCAAACACCATGTGACAGCTTTGAATAAACTGACTTTATTAATATAAAATAGGACATGGTTTAAAAAAGGCATTATAATCAGGGCTTCCACTGACATCATTGGACATGTATGTGTAATTTCTTGCCTGTAAATAAAATTCCACAATATTGATTGTTTTGAGGAGCGTATTCAAAAAGATGATTAGTAACTCTTATTTAGCTTGGCATCTGGGAATTATCTTTCATTATATTGATGAAAAAGATTTCCTTCAACTAAAAAAAAATCGAATGCCTTTCATTAAAATTAAAACGAAGGACAAATAATGTTATGACATCGATACTTAGAGATTGTGATAAAATATTTAAATAAGAAATGTTTATAATTGTAACATATTATTATGGAGTCGTATTTTTATAATTATTAAATACAAAACTTTCCACAGATATGAGAACGAAGTATGTACAAAGAGCAAGTTCCGATCTCAGCGCTGAACTCATCGATTGCATCGAATCTAGCCCTAAACTGGCCGAAACGATTCCTTCGGTGAGCTCAAGCGCTGAGTTTTGGAACTTTTCCAAAGTTATTTCCCCAACCTGGTAACACTGTTAGAGGTTTCTTATCCAAAATAGAAATAGGTTTCGGTTTAAGAATTATTATTTTGTTAATTTTAAAATGAGTGCTTCTGAGTCCAAGAAAGAATGTACTATATGCTCTTATATTCCTTTGAAACCGCTCACGATGACAAATGTTGCTGCTTTTTATGTACCAGTTTTTGGTTCAGTTAGCTATGCAACATTATCAGTAAACGTGATGAATCCTAGTTTATTGACCAAGTAAGTTATTCAAGACCAATTTTTGTTTTGTAGTTTTTTTGTGAGTATTGATTTAGATTCCCTCGTTTCATATTCATATTTTTATGATAAGATTATCCTTGTATTGGACTTCGAATATTTTGTAGACAGTTTTATTTATTGTTGTCACATGTATTTAATTCTGAAGTTACACCGGACCTTATTAATAATAACTAATTCCATTATAACATGAAAATGGATCCTCTTGATAAAGTATACTTGATAAGTAGTGTACACTAGTTTGTTGATCTAAAAAAGTGCTAAAACGTCTTATAATGGGTACTTCATTTTGGGAATAATCTGAAAGACCAAATGTTTTCTCTGGAACATTCAACCATCCTTAAATAGAAGCATTCTTAAAACAATTAGATGATAACAATGAAAATAAAATATGACAATATATTCTTCTTAAAAATGTTTTTTGGCAGTATAGGTAACGATATTAGTCTTACTGAAATCAGTATTTAACCAACTGCTTTTGAAAAACATTCTGTTTGTTCTATCGCATCATTCTGTTGCACTTTTACGAGCTAAATTATAGACAAAGTCTGTTTCTACTTCTTTTTAATCTCAATAGTTCAATTAAATAGCCCTTCTTAATTTCTTTATTTTAGAATTGTACCATCTCGAGATGTTACCAATTTTCTTCTTACAACTTCAGTAGTTGGTTCAGGGATGTATATCTATAACAGGAGACATCTTCATGACGCTGACATGAGTGCAAAAATGCTGTATAGGTAAGTTGTTTTTTTTTACAGAATGTTAGCTTTTATAAAACATTTTGCAATGTTTTGACACAAAGTTTTTCCGAAATATAGTTTATGTAAGGCAAGTTCCTAAACTCAGCACTGAGTTTTTATATATATAATTTTTAAGTGCTGAGAACTTGTATATATAATAATAGCAAACAAACCCAACTTGGCTTCTTATAGATTATTCAAACATAAATATTTAAAAAAAAATTATTTTAAAAATTGTATTAAGAATTAGGATTTCATGGACATCTTAATTAATGATCATTTTTACAACATTCCTTAAATGCCAAAAATAGATTATGGTTAACCTGACATAACAAATTTATGTTGCTAATGAAATTATCAATTGTGCCTAAATTAATTCATTAACCCCAACTAGGAAGAGTGGGCTTTGTCTTGGTGAGGAGTGAGAGTCACTATTTTGTTACTACTTTGCGAGTGTTTTTCCACTTTGGTAGGCACAAGATGTTATGACCCAAACTATAAATTGAATTCTGAGAATGACATATTGTGTTCAAAAGTAGGTTGAGATGACTGAAGCATTTGATAAGGCACTGATCTCAATTAAAAAGGACTCATTGGCGTTTGTTTATTCCTTTTAAGCAAGGAGAAATCGAAGCGGAGATGTAATTTAAGTTAATTAATGTCACTATGTTAACTGAAAAGATCCAGTTAGGTGTTTGTGGTCATTGTAAACTGTGATATAAAGCAGTTCTGAGTCCTTATTGGCTGCTTGCTATCACAAACAAAATGTTTCTGATTATAAAAATAATTTCTGAAAAAATATTATTTTTGAATAATAAAACTAATTTCTATCCTCGTTTTTTCATTTGGACTGGGGTTGGTAAAGTTAAAACTTTAAAAAAATTAAATTATGTTCTTAATCATTTAGTGGTGTGTGATATACCTTAAAAGATGGCAATAATCTTAATGATGATGTTTCACATATCTTACACTACACAAGTTCTATATAAGTATATTTAAAATATAAAAGGATTCAGTCAAAACAGGTGTAAAAGGTTTATTATAATTATTTGTGTTAGTAGCACTGGAGGCGCTATCCCTTCAGTGCAGAGATCTGTGTTAGTAGGAACCAAAGGGTTAAATTAGCTACATTAAGCTTGAAACTAACTTAGCTGTTAGATAAATAAATAATTTAGCTGTTATTATGTTTCTATAATATTAAGTGGGCCATTTAAATTCAAAAGGGTTAACTAATGGAATTATAAGTGTTAACATATTTATTTACTGTTGCTCCTCTAAAATCATGGCTTATTTGACATTCAGTTATTAAATGCAAATTATCTAATATTGTGTAGTGATTTATGTTTCTAATAATGAAGAAATAGATAAAGTACTGTTTTTTAGACTGATTTAGTGAGTTGGAATTCTTAAAATTCTTTTAACAGGCATGGCTTACAAATTAATTTTGTAGTTATATCGATGTTTAAAATTTTAAAGCTTATTTCTCTTGTATGTTACTCCTAAGGACTAAGTTTCTTACATTTCAATAAAATATTTTATATGTTCTGAACAATGATTAACAAATTATCTTTTACTAGCTGTGCCCCATAGTTCATCTTATCATTTTTTCTTTTGTCCTGAACAGTCACTTAGCCTGCGTTATTATGCAGATGTGATCTTGTTTGAAACCATTGGCATGTCAGGCATGAGGGACCAGTCTCATTAAATTTGAATCACGCCGGTTTGTTATACACGACTATTCTTGATACTTACTCATATACTTGATCAGTACTCATAATTAAAAGAAAATATCTCTTCCTAAGTTGACTCTGATATATTTTATACTTTATTCCTGAGCTTTCTTTATAGTTACTGCTAAAGAAAAATTACATGAAACTGTGGTAGATCAATTGATTCCAAATTGATTGATGTATATGGTTTCTCTGCTATGGTTACTATTGGTCAGTTTGTGATGTTATAAAGCCTTAAGCCTTCTTCAATAAACGTTGTATGTGAAATACAAATAATTTTCCAAATCTGATTAGTAGTTCTTTAATACATTAATTTAGATTTGAAATATAATAATACAGCTGAATTACTACAAATTTTATCATATACGAAATAAATCAATAAAAAAAAATGTATTAAAAAAAATTCATTAAAGAATAGAATACATGTTCCTTAAATAATATTCAATTTCATGTAAAGGCATTAGGAATCTGATGTCTGTTTATTGTTCTCTGCTGTTTATTATTATCGATATGTTAATATTTGTTTCAGTGGTTTTGATGCTCTTATCTTCAATTTTGGCTCTGTATTGTTATGGGCTGTATTAAGAACTGTCTCACCTAAAAGCAATTGCATCGCTACCATCATGGGACTCTTGACAAGCGGTGGCTTGCTGTATACTGGTTATTCTTATCTCAAATACATAGACGATAATGCATCATCATCATCATCGTCATCTGTTACAAAGTGAACTGAAACAGCATGGTTATTTTTTAAAAATCTTTTAACTCCCTAGTCTGTTTCGTGGAGTGAGAACTTAGAGCACAATGTTGATTGTTGTTTGTTTTATTATATGGAATTTATAATAAATTAAATTTTTTAGTAATTTGAATAATGATTTTCTTAAACTGTGATTCCTTCCTTTGTCATAAGCAAAGTAAAATCTTGCTGGGCTGAATTTGATGTAGTTTTAATAACTCAACTGTCATTTAAACATAGCTGATTGATTTAAAATATCCAAGTTTCAATCTTTCATATTGGTATTCTCTGCGATAATTTATTCTGTTACAAAGAATTTCTCTCTGTTACTTGTTGAAGAAAGAGTTATGAATATTTAATATTAATGTCTTATATTTTGTAGAATGAATTATTGTGATAATATATTTTTGAGTAGATGATTATTGTTTAAAAACAGACTAATTAGACGTTTAACTGTGAAATCTGGAAAATAAAAGTAATCTATATAAGTGCTATAAAACTTATGTAACTGTCAACTTTAAAAAACTGAAATATACTTTCACTATGTTGAATCAGCTTTTATTTTGTATTAACTATCTCTATAATTATTCAGAGCCTCTACAAATGTTTGTTTTTAAGAAGTCTTAGGTCTTTCTTTCTTAAGTCCAAATCTTTAATTGCAACAGTTTCTCAACTTCATCCAAATAAGAAGTTTAATTTGAAGTCTTAAATTACAATTTTTATTTATTTTTAATATTGGAAAGTTAAAAATGGTATATTTGAAAGGATTAAAATTGATAACCCTTTTCAAATCGATGCTTTTAATTAATTTTTTGTTTTATTGACAAGTTCAACCTATTATTTTTCAATTGTTATTTTACATTGTATATCAATATTACCCACTAAACTTAATTTCATTTTTGATATTATTTACTCTTGCACATATAGTTCTATGTAATTAAATAATTTTTAGTGTTTTTTCAGATCTTAGAATGATTTAATGGAAAAGTAGATTTAATTTTTATGGATATTTCAAAAGAATGGAGCCTAACCATCTTATCCAAAAATAGTTGAATTTTATGAGAACTCAAGCAAAGCTGTAACTGATTCTATAAAGTGGATTAGTAAAATAAAAATGGACCTCAAATTATCAAAGATTACACAAGAGGACATTTAAAAAAGAGAAACCTTTAGATCATAAGTTCACACTTCTCTGGAAGAATTACCAAAGAGTAGAACCGTGAATACATGGACTAAATAGAGAAAAGCGCAAGTCCATATGATGGTTTTCTTTTTCTTTCAAGAATGGTTGGAAAATTTAAAATAGTTAAGTTGCCCATCCCATTTATAATTACTCCTAAAGATTCTTTTGTACTTATCCCCCTGGCAAAACTTTAATTTCATTACATTGCAATTGTATTATAGTATTATTACAAAAATAATAATCTGTGACTCAACAAGAGTTCATTTCTACCTAAACCTTGGTTGTATTGATAGTAGTTTCCATTTAAAGGTGTATCTAAGTCACTGATGTTACCGATTACAGATAGTCACTATTAGGATCTTAATTAGTTCTAAAACCTATTCACGGCTTTCCTCTACCATTATTGTATCTTAGCAGAAGAGAAACCATCTGAAAAGAAATCCTTTGAAGAATTTTGATCTGAGAAGCTATATGCTTAAAGAAAGTAACATAAAGTTTTACTTTGATCAGTAAATTTGTGAATATATACAGTATTATTATATTACAAGTATAAAACACATCGAGCCTACGATTTTACTCTCAGTGAGAAAAAAAAATATTAAAAAGTAGTTGTTGCAAATTACTTAAATGGCACTATAATTTTAGGTGAGTCAGGCCTTTCTACAGTTTTACCAGCCGCTCATCTCTTTTTTAAAACTGTTCTCAAGTTTCTGAGAATGAGGTTTTTCTGGCGTCTTTGTCCACTCAAGCTTGACTTCCAACCCTCAAGGCACCCCCCCCCCTAGACTTGTTATTAGGCGTCTTTGTCCATATTAGCTGACTTGCTAGTTATATGGAGCTTTTCTTATAAAGCACGTGAAATCTCTTTTGGTTCACTAGGTCCAGTTTATCTTTCAACTTCAATAAATAAAATGAAAGTAGAAAGAGATACTCTTTTGATCTTATGAACACTTCATATTCTCTCTACATTATTTATACTTTATTTTGTATGCAGATTGTATTTGTGCTTATCTAATAGAGTTTAGAATTAAAACAGATAAAATCTGTAATGAAATTTCCATTGATTAGTTAAAATATTTATATTTGGTTTGAATATTTTAAACTCCTTAAAAATTGTATTGTCTGAACTGAAAAATTTATTTGAGTATGTGTAATATCAGCATTTATCTAAACAGTTGAAAATATGGCATAAAAACTATTATTGATTCAACTCATTGTTTATATTTAACTCGTAACTATTTAAATCTATCTGAGATTTGTTTAGTATTTATTCAACGCTATTTTATGTTAGGTAGGAAGTTTTCGATAGCTTATTAATGAATTTAATTGTACCAATAATTTTTAGAAGAATAAAATTCATTATTAACCCTGTAAACCCTGATGGCAACACTGCCTAGAATTCATATCAGAAAAAAGGTTCATTTGGCCATTTCTGACTCGTCGCCTGTTGAAGAAGAACACCATTGTAATATATCATAGAAGAAAGAAAATTACTGTGAAATAAGTAAGTGTATTTCAATAATTTCCATTGTCGACTTACTTTAATCTTGAACAGTATTTACGGTATCATATCCATACAGTACTTTGAATATTATCATTCTCTAACCTTAGCATTGCCCTTATATTATTAAAATGTTTCAACTATAAAAATCTTTTGTTGTATCTTTATTGTTTATTGCTAATGTTAACATATATTAAATAAAATTGAAATTGACTTCTTGAAAATAAACAATTTTGCTCTATTAAAACATTAACATTGGTCTCTTATTTGTTATGTCTTCATAAATTCTTTTTATATGTCTTTTCTTAGTTGTACAGATTTATTTGATAGGTATTGATACTAGTTTCTTTAACATATTCTGTGAGTTGCGCTAAAAGCGATTATGAATTATTAATTTTTTAAGAAATAGTTTAAGGTATAAATTTTTCATTTGCTTTCTGTAGATGTCTGCCATGGGAAAAGTCTTAGTAATTAGGATTTATCCAGTTTTGAGTTTGTGGATCAAGGAAATTATACAAACGTAGAAGGCGAGGCAAAAGTCATCCAAATGTTGTTTTTACTATAGATGGCAGCTTTTTAGGCTTGAAAGAGTTTTGAAATGTTTTCAAGTATATTTGGTAGGTTCTAAGATATGGGGTCAATTGAGTATTTCAATAAATTTCTCTTTCTCTTTATTATTTTGGGATTAGTTAATCATTTACTGCCCAATGTCTTACTATGAACTTAGGTATTTTCATTCACCAAATTAAATGATCTTTCCTTATCTTTTTTAAATGATAATTGAATACCATACATTGCAATCTCAATAATCTGAACTTAGATTGTTCGGACACTAAGATAATTTTTTCTGGCCAAAATTAAGAAAAAGAAGGAGGGATGAGAGTTTTGTTAAGAAAAAGCTAGAGAAAAATATCTAATAAAAAATGCTTCTCCTAGTAAAATTTCTGGAAACAATCTCAGGTTGTATACATAGACACACACTCCCTTGGTTATTTTGTGAGAATTCCTCACTTTTTATGTCAATACAATGATTGTAAAGCTATAAGATACAGTGTCTTTTTACATCTCTATATCCAATGAGCAAATGAAAGTAATAAGTTGGGGCAAAGTAAAAGTTTTCAAGTGATATTAATTCATATGAATAAAGTTGCACATGAGTATGGGGTTTGAATTTTTTATTGAACCTAGTTAGTTTTCCTGACCACTTTCATGTGATTTGAACACACACTTGCAGCAAGAGGGTCAAATTAGTGAGGTTGCACTGTACTTACACAATTTAAAATTAATATAAAATATGAATAAAAAGATACCATAACTTAATTCTAAGGAGGGAAGAACAGTTATTTCTATTTGTAAGATACTCCATTTTTCCCCTGATTAATAAATTAATTAATATATGCTTGTATGCAAGGTGTTCTTGCACGTTCATGAATTGATAAAAATAACTAAGAAAATTTAACTGCATTGCTAAAAACTGTTGTGAACCTTAGAGTAATGTTTCAATGTTTAATTTTTTACTTTGGCAATGGTGCAAACTAATTAATATTAATTGCTATGTTTGCTTGGAAGAACACAATTTTTAATAAATGGATGAATAATTAAAATATATCCAATGTTTTTTATAAATCTCTTGACTATATAGTGTTCAGGCAAAACGTTTTATATTCAGCAATACAAAATAGTATATTTTTGGCTAGTGTTTTTAAATTTGAGTTTGGCTGAAGATAATTGTTTATCAATATTCAAATTTCAATTCAATGTAATTTGATAATCTTTATCAGCTTGTTTCATTATATCAGATTTGTTTATTACTGATATGAAATAGTGCTGACTCATTTAGCATTAAAGATAAAATAAATATGGTATGTTGCAATGAAATAAAAATATATACAATAAATTGTGATATTGTGAAAGGAGGAGGGGGCTACTATTTAACACTTTTTAGGGCATATTTAAGGTATTGCACATTTGATGGATTTTTACATTAAGGTTTGTTCTAAATTCATTTTATAGGTCGATTTTGTTGATTTTCACAGATAATTTCTTATGTTCAAAATTCAACATGATACTGTTCAAGGATTTTTGTAGTCAAATTCTCCTAGACTGTTAATAGATAGAACATATCATTAGTCCTGAATAAGAATATCAGGTCTAAAAAATTACAATGAAGATATTCATGGATTTTTAGTTAAAAAGTAGGAATATATTATTAACAAAACCACTATAAAACTAGTTTCTGGCTTTATAATGGTCCTAATAAAATTTTAAACATTTTCAACATACAATTTTTTTTTTTTTCTCATGCCTCTTGACTTATTTGACTTCCACCATTAGTCTTCTAGCAGGTCGTTACCCTTCTCATGCGAGAATCAAACCCCGTATGCACGAATTCGTAGGCGTAATGGTCTAAGCAGTCAAGTAGAGACTACACTTATTTATTTTAATTTATAATTAATTAATTTTATTTTTATCTTTTTTTTTGTTTGGTTTAAATCTCACGAACGAGATTTAAACTTGTACTATAAAGATTTTGCAGACTCCTTAACTCGCTCGACCACCCATAACCCGTGCCCCCTCTTCCACCCCATAAAATTATCTGAAAAATTGTATTTTCTGAATAGTTAATAATATTTTTGAATAGTTCATTGAAATTCCCCAACCAGTATTTCTCTTATGTTGGGATGACTTATTATTTATATTTATTATTATTAGTTATGAAAAATAATAGTTGTATAATTTACAATATCGAGAAAAACAATTTATTTTAACACTTATACATTAATGCTTCAATTAATTCCAACTTCTTGACAACGTTTCGGACAATTTTGCTCATTTTCAAGTCATATAAATCACAATAATTATAAATATATACATAAAAAATATAACAGCACGTAAAAAACAATAAACGGAAATCTAAAATATCAGATCAATGA